AGCAGGCACATGAAGTCTGGGGGGGTTGCATTTTACACTCCCCACAGATTACAAAGCCTGTAAACTACAAACCGAAAACACCATGTGCAAAAAACAAGAACCTGAAAGTTGCCAAGAAGAAGCAACTTGTCTATGAAGAAGGGTGTCCTTGATTTTGGTTGAGAGAAGCCTACTTCTCACCATATTCAAAACCATCATCTGGGTATGCTCATTGATGAAAATTCTATGATTTCTTTCTCCCCATATAACATAAACAGTGACAACAAGACATAGTTTCGTAATGGAATTTGTAGATGCTTGCCTTTCCATTGGGTGGACATTGCCTCAATGAGACTATGCCAAGAAGAAGATTGTCATGGCCAATCACACTTACTGATGACATTCCTTCAAACTCTTTCTGAGTATGAGCATTCAAAAAATAGATTGAAGTGGGATTCTTGATCAACTCTACAAAGTACACAAGTAATTCTAATGTTGGGTGTAAAACTATGGATTATGTCCTTTGTGGCCAGTCTATTCCTTATAGCAAGCCAAAGGATAAAACTGGCCTAGGAATGCATAGATTGAACCAAAGAAGATGGTACCACAGCACCTCCGGTTTTTTGCTCCTGATTTGATTCCAAGCTGAAGAAGTAGAGAATTTGCCATTAACTTGGGGAAGCCATTATCCTTGCTCATTTCTGATAAGTTCTCTAACTCGTGAAGGACCTAGATTTCCCTTGGAATAACCATCAGTGTTTAATTTGTTCCTACTTCCAGATGGAAACATCCAATTAATTATCCTGTTAGGTCTTCCTAGGTTAGTCAGTAGTGGTCCATGGAAGGCATTGGAAGTATCAAGAGCTAGTAGCCAAGCTTCTTTAGCCACTATCTTAGGATTAGTGAGTGTGGAATTGATGCACTCCCAATTTATATCTATCCATATGTTCCAGATAAAAGATCTAAACATTATTGGTCAACGTATTTCTTTCGACTATTTCTTTTTCTTATCTTTATAGTTCCAGTTCAACCAACCCTACAAATCCTTTCTTGAAGGATATTGGGTAGCAATACAATATTCCTGGTGAAGCACGTGCGCGCATCCACCCATGTTTCATGTTGGGGATATACTTTAGGCTTGGATCTGTCCAAGCTTTCAGGGATGCATCAGGAACATATCTGAGCCTTAGAGTCATACCTTGGGATAATACTAAGGAAAACAAAATAAAAAATTGATAGCTGTACTGAAAGTGATCTAAGAAAAAGTGAAGACAAAATCTTGATTGGATAATAGCAACTATAATTTGTTGAATTTCATAATGATATCAGATTACAGTTTTTAAAAGTTTTGTTAACTCCTAAAAATGTCAAGATAATTGAATTTAAACGAGAACTTATTTCTGAATTTTAATAAAAAATTGTTCAATATGTTTTTACCATAATATAAATAACAAACCGTAATGGTGCTAAATTATTAGTTAAACCAAACAAATATGTAATACTACAAAAATACCGCAACAAAGAGACAAAAATAACAAAATACCTAAAAAAATGTCATAAATGATGTTTTTTTGACTTAAAAGGGGCAGGGTTGAAGTCTTCTGTCTTGCTCAGATTATAAATTTTTTTTTTTTAGAATATGGTCTTTTGTAATTTTTTAACATTGTCATTAAAATCAACTTTGATTGGTGCTTGAATCAATGCTGCTTTTGACGGTCTTGATTTGTAGTCCTCCACTATACATGTTGCATCAAAAAGTTAATATTTTCGAAAGTTAAATTAGACTTTTTAAAAGTGAAGCTACAATTAATTGAGGTAATTTTTGATCAATCACAAAATATTATCATCAACCATTCAATAAGTTGTAATTTCTCATTTGCAGACAATAATTAGACCTTTAAAACTTATACCTTTTATGATTGATCACAATATTTTGTGATCAATCATGTCCTTTGAATTTATAAGTTACAACACTAAAAATTATTACTTAACCTTAAAATGTTATAATTTTCTATATAGTTTCTCTTTTGATATTGTAGTATCTCCTAAAGGAAATAAAATGAGCTTTCTCTGCGCAAAACAGAAAGAACTTGTCGAGGGTGTTGTATATGTTCCTATGGGTTAGCATTATAAATGACACTATTATCAAAGTGCACAAATAAAAATTTATAGCTATATTGATGAAGCAATTGACTTATTACTTTCATGAAAGTGCTTGGAGCATCAGATAATCAGAACGATATTACCAAGCATTTGCATAGATCTTAATGAGTTTTAAAAGTTGTCTTTCACTCATCTCCTAATTTGATTCGAATCTAATAGTAACCAACTTTATGGTCCAACAATTAATGATTCAATACTCGTCCTGCGCATGGCGTGCTTTAGGAGTATGTGAAAGGGGACCAAGGGCCATTACTAGTCCTGCGCAGGATATTTTTCACTCCTCAAGTAGTGGGGGACAGACTGAGATTGCTCAATAATATCTTCCAATACACCTCTACAATAGGTCGAAAGGTCTGTCGTTTCATTATTGATTATTTAAAAATGTGATTTTATATGATGCTGTTTAAAAGGACTCTAATAAATTTTAAGGAATAGTTTAAGTGATAATATAGACGAACTATTAATATACACACTTCCTGAATTTGAATATTTACAATCCTATGATACCAGGTGATGAGGTATTTGTCACCCTAATTCAGTCATGAATAGTCTGTTTTTGATCAAACTAGAGAAGGATCTTCAATTCAAAGAAAAATAACTGAAGCCTAGCAAAACTGCACAAGTTTGGCATGGACTAAGACATCCTAACTAACCATTTTCTACCAAGGAATTGCGTCGGCTACATAGATATTTTGCCTTTGATTGTAATTAATTACCAATTTTATTAGTTAACAAAAGTCGAAAAAGTCCAGAAAAACAGGATAATTACTGGTTTTATGGTATGTTTTAATTGGATTGTTTTAACATGTGCTTACTCTATTCTCGATATACTAATAGTTTGTCAACTATTTTTTTTTTTATCCTTGTAGTTCCGGTTCAACGAACTCTACAACCTTTTCTTGAAGGATATTGGATTTGAACTTAGTCTCAGGCAGACCAACAAACGAACCTATTAAGTTTTAAGCTTATTTTTTCGGGTCGAATAACAGGACTCGTGGACAATTCAGCCCTTGAACACACATATGATAATTTGGGTTGGAGTTTGAAAATAAAGACTTTTTAGTGTCCAACATCCAAATAAATGCATGGTAGCAATACAATATTCCCGGTGAAGCACGTGCGCGCATCAACCCATGTTCATGTTGGGGATATACTTTAGGCTTGGATCTGTCCAAGCTTTCAGGAATGCATCAGGAACATATCTGAGGCACAGAGTCATACCATGGGATAATACTAAGGAAAAAAAAAATAAAAAATTGATAGCTGTACTGAAAGTGATCTAAGAAAAAGTGAAGACAAAATCTTGATTGGATAATAGCAACTATAATTTGTTGACTTTCACAATGATATCATATTCCAATTTTTAAGAGTTTTGTTAATCCCTGAAAATGTCAAGATAATTGAATTTAAATGAGAACTTATCTCTGAATTTTAATCAAAAATTGTTCAATATGTTTTTAACAAATATGTAATACTACAAAAATACCACAAACAACAAGTTAATATTTTCGAAAGTTAAATTACACTTTATAAAAGTGAAGCAACAATTAATTGAAGGGGGGCGTGTTTTAGGAGTATGCGAAGGGGGACCAAGGGCCACTACTAGTCCTGCGCAGGATACTTGTCACTCCTCAAGTAGCTGGGGGAATGATTGATTGCTCAAAAATATCTTCCAATACACCTCCACAATAGGTCGCAAGGTGATTTTTGATGATCTTTCATTATCTTTCAAAAATATCTTTCATTATTGATTATGTAAGAATTCTAATATCTGTTTAAAATAATTCTAATAAACTTTAAAAATATCTTTCAAAATTAACTATTCAAAAGAATTCTAATAAATTTTAAGTACTAGTTTAAATGGTAACAGAGACGGATTGTAAATACACACACATTCTGAATTTGAAACTTGACAATCCTATAATGTTGGGTGATAAGTTATTTGTCCTTTATGAATATTATAATTTAGGTATGAATAGTCAACTTTTGACCAAATTGGAGAAGGATATTCAAGTCAAAGAAAAACAACTGCAGCCTAGCAAAACTACACAAGTTTGGCATGGACTAAGACGTCCTAACTAACCATTTTCTACAAAGGAATTGCGTTGGCTGCAAAGATATTTTGTTTTTGATTTGTAATTAATTACCAATTTTATTAGTTAATGAAAAAGTCCACAAAAAAGGGTAGTTATTAGTTTTGTGGTATGTTTTAATCGTATTGTTTTAAAATGGGCTTACTCTATTTCCGACATGCAAATAGTTTGTTAATTTTGTGTTAATATATTGGAATTTTTTGTCAATTTATTTACAAAAAAGATTAATTCGGTTATTATCAAAATAAAACTAAACCCATATTACAGTTATGAGAAACGAGAACTATGAAACCTAATGACCAGTCATTCCACAAAATATAAAATTCATTATTACTTTCATGTTTTGATCACGTGCCTAAGGACCATACTGGAATAGAATACAATGGAAATGTCACTTTGAAAAAGAACATAAATGATATGCTTAAAAACAATTATCAGGAGAAACGCACAACCATAAAAAAAAATATATATATATATATATATATATCCCGAGCAATGTACAAACCCTTAAAAAAAAAAAACAGAACATGTGAAACACATTACTAGTTAGATAAGACTAAAACCCATTTAATTGAGATTCATTTGTGCTCCCATATTACACCCACCAATTCAGAGCCCTCTTCTTAACTCTCCCATCAATCCAATACACCAGAAACTGTCAAACTTCCACAAATTTCTCTCTCCTAAAACCAGGAAAAACATGGCTTCCTTTTCATCTTCAATGAAATCATACTTAAGCACGAGTTCAAGCTTTGATGAGCACCAATGGGTCATTCAAATACGCCTAGCTCTCGATGAAGAGCTTGAAGAAAATATCTATGAAATCCCAGTCAGCATCTTCAATGTCCCAAGGACCCTAATGGCCAGCAACCCAGATTCTTACACCCCACAAGAAGTTGCAATAGGCCCTTACCATTATTGGAGTCCCGAGCTTTATGAAATGCAGAAATATAAGCTCGCAGCAGCACAGACAATCCAGAAACAGCTTCAAAACCTCAAGTTTCAACATGTTGTTGAAAAGATGATAAAGCATGGCCCTAGGATTCGAGCTTATTACCACAAGTACCTCGATTTCAATGACGAAACATTAGCTTGGATGATGGCTGTTGATGCTTCGTTCTTGCTTGAGTTCCTTCAAATCTTTGCGTTCAAACAAGGTAAGGAACTAACTAGAGTCTCATCAAGAATGTCACATTTGATTGATGTTGCAGGAAGAAAGTCTGCATATAATGCTATTCTCAGAGATATAGTGATGCTAGAGAATCAAATTCCATTATTTGTACTGAGAAAGATGTTAAAAATTCAATTTTCATCAATGGAATTAGCGGACAACATGCTGGTTGCAATGTTAATGGGTTTGTGTAATGAGCTTTCTCCATTCAAATTCATGGAAGAAGAACACCCAAATCTTCAAATTTCAAAGCGTGCTCATTTGCTTGATGTTTTGTACCATGTATTCATACCGGAATTCGAGGAACCAACGGAAATAACTGAAGCCGAGGAAGATAAGAAAAGGAAGGTGAAGGTGAAGGGAAAAGTGAAGGAAACTCTTTGGGGGAGTCAAGTCACATTAAACAATGCTTTGGTGAGGTTTGGAAGTTTATTTCCAAATTAGATCCTGGCATAGTACGTTCCATCAAGAGATTATTATTTTCAAGACCTATTAAAGTCGTATTAAAATTGCCATGGACAATCGTTTCTAAGCTTCCTGGATTCAAAGTCTTGAAACTAGTTTCTGAATATTTCTGCTTCCCACATAATAAAGAAAACATTAAGCCAAAAAATGAGAATTCTAATGACAAACCCCCGTTGGTTGAGGAGATTTCAATCCCTTCTGTCACAGAACTCTCTGATGCTGGTGTGAAATTTTCATCCACTGACGGTGGCACTTCAAATTTTGGGTTTGATTGTAAGACGGTTACATTATACCTACCCACCATTAGTTTAGATGTAAACACAGAAGTGATCTTGAGGAACTTGGTTGCTTATGAAACCTGCAATGCATCTGGGCCGTTGGTTTTGACTCGTTACACTGAATTAATGAATGGGATTATTGATACGGCGGAGGATGCCAAGTTGCTGAGAGAAAGAGGGATTATAGTGAACCGATTGAAGAATGATGAAGAGGTGGCCAACCTGTGGAATGGAATGAGTAAATCTGTAAAATTGACAAAAGTGCCATTCTTGGACAAAGTGATCCAAGATGTGAACAAGTATCATGACAGTAGATGGAAGGTTAAAGCTGGGAAACTCATAAAGGCGTATGTTTTTAGGTCATGGCAGTTTCTCTCATTGCTTGCTGCTATTCTCCTACTGTTATTGGTGACTATCCAAACGTTTTGCTCGGTTTATAATTGTTCTCGAATCATTCATGTCCCAAATCTTCAGTGATTTCGTGTGCTATCTCAAGTCTCAACCATGAACGACGGTTTCTTAAATAATCAGCTAAAGCTCTTCAATGAAACAATGCTTCATTACATGTTCATCCGTGTGTTTTTTCCCCTCGGTGTTTGTGGGGTGGGTTTTTTTTTTTGGGATGGGTGATCCTGCACCAAGTTAAAGATGGTTTTGTGGGTTGGCTTTGTATTAACTATTGTTGATATCGCATAAATATATGTTGGTGAATGTGATGTTGTTCAACTTTGGGTCCTTTTGCTTTTAAAAAAGAAGTGTTCATGGAGCTTTTCCATCTCTTAAATTATTGATGTCGAATTTGATTTGATTGGCTTATACCACCAAAGTAATTGGAATGTGATTCTAATTTATGATGATTGCTTTGCATATCTAATATTATATACATGGCAAAGTAATGGAAGGCATTGAAAGTATCAAGAGCTAGTGGCCAAGCTTCTGTGGCCACTATCTTAGGATTAGTCTTTCTCTCTCTGCCAATCAGTAAAAAGATATTTTTTAAGATATTAAAGTTATGTACTTAAAATATGATCACGCACATATGATAATAGGATGAGATTTCTAAATTTATAATAGAACTATACTAAATCACAACTGTTGTAACATTTCTATTCTTCTATAACATATAACAATAGTCATTTCTAATGAATTATTTGATAATTATTTGCAAAGTAAGAATGTTATTACAGGCAAAAGCATACATTATATCTATTAAAAAAAGGTCTCACAAAATACATTATTCACTTTTATTTTCTAAACAAACATCTCTTAACAAAAAAAAACAAAAAACAAAAGAATTGGAGATTAAAGTATCACTTATGATACGTAGAACTTAGGTTCGGATCAACTTGAATTACGCGAAGATATAATTTAAGAAATTCAGTACTTGAACATCAATTTTCAATATTTATGTGGAGCTTGGACAAAAAAAAAAAAAAAACAAGAAATTAACCCTGGTTTGCATCCTCGGTCAAAGGAATCTAAGTCGCCCAAGTATGACTTCAGGTACTGGCACCCAAGTTGTCCATGTTACATCAGAAGGAGAAGCAACATCTCCAGCTCGGGAAGATGGAACGAGCTCCTCAGATCACATGCTAACTAAAAAGATAAGAGGTCATCCAAAGCTGAATGACCTCATAGTATGATCTTCCATAAGTACGGATGACCACATTGTATCCAAATTTGAAGACACGTTATAATTTCAACTCATCATGTTTCAGAAGGTCACGTCACACCTAAAGAATATAACATCTAACTGCACAATATTTTTTAAACAAAATTTTCACAAAATTGAGGACCATGTGATGATAACACGAGGACCACCCTACTTGTGGGTATAAGTGCAAAGCTATTCACTCATGTAAAGGGACTAAACGAATTGTAACCCCTACAATTGTAACATTATTTTCTTTCCCAAATAATAGAAAACCTCTCAGGAGCACGAAACTCTATTATATTGGATTAGTCAAACTTTTCAGCTAGTAAATCACTCTTGGTTTATTGCAGCGTTGTCGAGAACCACCAAGCTCAACCTCATATCGTCTTCTTCTCCTCTATTTACTCACACACACCACTGTTTACAAGCCTTGAACTCTTCAACTTGAGCATTTCTCTCATGTTTTGAGTTCCTACATCGTCATAAAGTAATGAAGTTCTTTACTGGCACTCCATATATTATATATAGTTATGGGATTTATACTACTCACTTGTGTTGTGATTCTGTACATATTAATGGCATTTCGATATAGTTCATATATTATGTATCAGCTATAAGTTGTAATTGAAAACACGATACAACATAAAATTTAAAATTTAAAATTAATGTCTCCTTTATTTTTATAAAACAATAGAAAAAATTTTGTCAAAATATATTACCTCAAAAAAATATCAACACATGTACACCATCTTATATGAACAATGCCTTAAATAAAAATTATATTAAGTCACAAATTAATAAAAAATTAAATAATTCAACTTGTGACAAAAATGAGCGAGAAAAATATATATGGATAAGATTCAAACACCTACCTCATTTATTATATAGATGTTTAGACGGAACGTTGACGAAGAGGTGGAATAGAGTGTTCTAGAGCTATCTGGGAATGGATTTGCAAAGGGGACTTTTTATTGATTTTTTTGGGAGAATGAAATTGTGTATAAGAATTTTGGACAATAAAATTCTTTGGTTGATATTTGTATTTCAGTGTTACCAATCGAACATAAATTTGTATTTCTCTATCGATTTCATTGTCCTAACTAGTGAAATTGGATATTTAAAATTTTATTTCACCATATTCACCGCCAATAGTTAAGTTTGTAATTCCCAGTGAAATTTGTATCTCAATATCAAGGACTTGATTATGGTACCGAAAACAATAAATTTCGGTATCATACCTCTGTTTATTATATTTGTGTATATTTTTATCACTTTTGTGGATATTTTTACCATTGTTGTGATATTGGAAAAAAGTGATAAAAATAGTTATCATAATTATAGTAAAAATACCCACAAATATAATAAATTACCTACAAAAATGAAATATATATTTTTTTTGTACAGAAGAAAAGTGGTTAAAATAGTTACCACAATAGTGGCAAAAAAATCTAGAACAGTGGTAAAAACACCCACATATACGGTAAATCACTTATAAAAGTGATAAATTTTTTTGTTGTCAAAATGACTTACTAAAGTTATAAAAACACTCATTAAAATAGTAAATTTTAGATGTATGGTACTGAATTTTTTTTATCATTACCGTAGTCAAGTCCTAGTATCAATTTTTTTTATCGTTACCGTACTAAGGGAGTAATATTGCAATTGAAACCTAATTTATTAATCTAATTTGTTGAATTAATTTATTATAGTTATTGGATTGACTATGAGCCATATCAAAAATTAAAACTTGATAAATTAGATTAAATTTTTAGATCTCAATAACAATATTAAATTTTTGAACACCCCTGACCATAATATAAAATAAAAAAAAAGTATAGAATGATGTATTAACAATGAGAATATATAAAAGCTCATAAAAAAAAGTTCATAAAATTGATAAGGACATTAGGACGTGGTGGCAGCTAGATATAAAGACCTTGTTTGTTTGCTGATTTTGTTTCATGTTTTTGTTTTCAATTTTTGCAAAAACAAACAAAAAACAAAAACGTGTTTGGTAATTTTTTTTTTGGTTTTTTTGTTCCATATTAATTGTCTCAGAAACAAGTTGAAAAAATGAGAACAAAAAAAATGTATTTCAGGAAACATGAAACACACGTTTTGGCAGAAGAAGGATTTTAATGAGGTCTCAACTTCGACCCTTGTTAACAACAAAATACCACTATTTTTTATGAAAGTATAAATATGGGGTCTTTTGATTTTTTTTCATAATCGTTCTCACATTGTCTCTCTCTCTCTCAACGACTCTATCTTTTGTTCTGTGTTTGTGTGGTGCGATGGCATAGAAGAAGATGATGCTCTCTCTCTCTCTCTCTTTGTGAGACCTAGAGGACGGAGACGCTCTCTATGTATATATGCATAGATCTGTGCATATGTACACAGATTTGTGTGTGTGGGTGTGAGTGACCAGTTTGTGTGTGTGTGTATTGTGTTGAGTCTCTGTGCGTTTGTGTTTTGTGTGTGTGTGTATTGTGTTCTATATGTGTATTATGTTTGTTGTGAGGGATCGACCTCCCCATTACCGGGGATATACCTCCCTCCAAGAGCAATCCTCCCCATTACCGGGGATATCCCGCTCTCCATCAAAGGATTTCGGCTGACCTGCGGGGCAAACCCCCACAGTAGCCTTTACCTCTGTCCCACATCGGGGAAAGAGTCGTCTCCCCACCCCCATATAAGCCGAAGCACCATATGAGAGCAGTACCCAAGTACCACACTGTGCTACTTGGGTACTGCTCTCATATGGTGCTTCGGCTTATATGGGGGTGGGGAGACGACTCTTTCCCCGATGTGGGACAGAGGTAAAGGCTACTGTGGGGGTTTGCCCCGCAGGTTAGCCGAAATCCTTTGGTGGAGAGCGGGATTTTTATGTGAGGGATCGACCTCCCCATTACCGGGGATATACCTCCCTCCAAGAGCAATCCTCCCCATTACCGGGGATATCCCGCTCTCCATCAAAGGATTTCGGCTGACCTGCGGGGCAAACCCCCACAGTAGCCTTTACCTCTATCCCACATCGAGGAAAGAGTCGTCTCCCCACCCCCATATAAGCCGAAGCACCATATGAGAGCAGTACCCAAGTAGCACAGTGTGGTACTTGGGTACTGCTCTCATATGGTGCTTCGGCTTATATGGGGGTGGAGAGACGACTCTTTCCCCGATGTGGGACAGAGGTAAAGGCTACTGTGGGGGTTTGCCCCGCAGGTCAGCCGAAATCCTTTGGTGGAGAGCGGGATATCCCCGGTAATGGGGAGGAATGCTCTTGGAGGGAGGTATATCCCCGGTAATGGGGAGGTAGATCCCTCACATTTGTAACTGATTGTCATTTTGTTTTGATTGAATTATCATTTTGTTTTGATTGAATTGTTATTTAGGATTGATTGAATTGTTATTTGAGATTAAATTACCATTTGGAATTGATTGAATTTCTATTTGAGATTGAATTGTCATTTGAGTTTAAATTGTCATCTGAAATTAATTGAATTGTCATTTGGAATTGTTGAATTGTTATTTATGCTCCGTTTGGTAGGAAGGATGAAAAATATGAAGGATGGAAAATAGGAGGGATACACTTTTTATCTTTCAAGGATGGAAAATAGGAATAATACATTTTTCTTCCTTTGTGTTTGGTTGGATGGATGGAAAATAAAAATGACTAATTTTTTTTGTGATGACTAAGATTAGGGTTGACAATCGAGTCGTATCGTATCAGATTCGTGTTGAATTATAAAATTATGAGTCTTTTATATTTCTTATTCGCGTGTCAGGTCATTTTTAAAGTCGTATCGAGTTATAATCAAGTTCG